AAATGTAAAAATAGTTATTTGCATCATTTTCCCCGTTATGTTCTTTTGTGATTTCAGATTGAGATGAGAGCTTACTTCTAAAAAGTTATTACAATCGGCCTTAAGAGAATTTAGCCAAGAATGTAAAACCGATGAAAGGGCATTTACACCCTTGGAATTCTCATCGTTGGTCAACGAGTATTTACGCGAGAACATATATAGAGCGATAGAGTTCGTATACTTTATGACAAAGATATTTTACACTTGTACATATCTACAGAATTCTCCGGAAACGTAATCAGTGTAAAGAAAAAAGTAACGGGGAGAGATAAAGAAAAAAAAGAACTTTTTATCGACGTTTTTCACATAGTATAAAAAAAATATCGATTATAAAATGTTTCCATGACTTACATATTGTTAAATATGCATAATTTGAATATTGTTCTTTTTTTTTCAATCGCTCCTGCGTGTCGGCATGGTCACGATCTTCCTCATAATAGAATACAAAAAAAAAAAAACAAAGAAATTTCGCCGAGGACGGTGTATGAAACGTTATAGCAATAAATTTACGTATTTGTGTATAATTTAAAAAATTAGTAAACTTATTAATTAAATATAAATCATACGCATCTCTCGGTGTGCATTATCCCGCTGCTTTCCGTTTCTCTTTCGCGCTTTTATTTTTGCAAATGATATTAAACAATGAATTGCCGAGTATCTAAAAAGATAAAACATTTTATTTATATTTATATTTATATATACGTATCTAGTGTGAATTATATAAAAATGAAAATCGTCGAGAATACATAAAATTGTTGATTAGGCTGAGAACACGCGCGTGGCCGTGGGCTAGTCGACAGGTTTCGGTGTCGAGATCAATTTGATAGCAGGTGTAAAATCGTCGCGTTAATAGCAATCACAACAATTCTCTTAAAATCTTATTCTAACGAGTGAACAAGTACGCGTATATAGAACTAGTATAATATAGTTGAATTCAGTGAACACCAATATGCCTCAATTTAATTGATTTCTTATATGTGGATATGAGAAATGAGAAAAAATAAAATATGAGAAGAGAGAGGAGGAGGAGCGTAATTACGAGGGGAACCAATTAGTTTTTGATTCGTATTAGCTTCCACCTCGATCTTCTTCCTGATTGTAATTAAAATTGTGACTCTCTCGGTTATCTCTCGTCACGTCGCGAGCCTGACTCTCGCTCAGCATTTTAAAGTTTACAAAACTTCTTCGTTACCTACGATGAGACACGAGCACGAAGTAAACTTACTTTATTCTACATATGGTCAGTATAAAGCTAAAAGTAAAACGTCCGACAGCTTCGCTTAACCGATATTGAGCGCCGCATAATTCTAAGATCCGTTCTATGTATATATGTATAATAGCTAGTTACCGCTGTATAATTTCTTTAGTCTTTAGACAACCTGAAAAAAAATTCATACTGTGACGTGTGTAAAAATATATTTAAAAATTGTGTATATTTCATATTTTTCTTTCTTTTCATTTTCTATATAAAACATTTGTTTTCCGGAATTGGCATGTCTCTTTCTCTCATTTTTGCTATTTTTTTTTCTGAAATATCGAATCATATAAATAAAGTTTCGGCGGTGAGAAGAATAATATATAACAATTGTGTGATAATTTGTGAAATCTGGAGAAGTGTTCCCCCGTATTGCGCGGTACTAATTAATCTATCTAGCGTAGGCGGCGCTGGATATTTTTCTTTGCAAGACAGGAGCGTGCCACAATTTTCTCGAGCTTTTGACAAAGAAAGAAGGTAAACGCTAACGTCTAACTGAAAATGTTAAAATTACATATCAATATCACAATATAACACAATATATGATTCACGCTTTATTTTTTATAAATAAAATTTTTCCGAAGATTCGAGTTATACGATAAGATTTGTGAGTATTTTGGGCACACTCGCATATATCCTGCAATACTGTCCACAGCGTTTTAATTTCACAAAATTCCACTCGTTTGCAACACTATGTGTGCTCGAAGAGCAAAATTATGTACAAGATTATACGAAGCGTTTCAGGAAGAACGTGCTAGAGATTGTATTGCTCGAATAAATCTTCGAACATCACTTGGTAAAACAGAAGTGAAAAAATTTATCAATAATTTAAATTTCTTCTTTTTTTTTCGAAAATTATTCGAGGAACACGTTCTGAACATTTGACAGATCCCGTACGAAACACTTCACATAAAATTATTACTAATTCACGATCAACAGTGGGGATGAAATCTCCAAATAAACATATGCAACATCTTTGCATTAATTCACGAGTTTCATCTTGCCTCACAGATCCACATTCTAAACTATTTCAGTCAATCATATCATCTCTGGCATAATTTAAAATGCACGACAATGTTCAATCCGAATCATCACTATCGTCCGACTTTAATGCATAAGATACAGGCTTCCGAGCTCTACCGGCAGGCTTCCGAGGTGGTGGCGATTCCTCAATTATTTCTTCATCAGAATCAGAAATCTTTTTTTTCTTCTTTATCTGTAAAAAGATTAAAAAAGTTTAATGAAAAATATTCCCGAAGATAATTACTATACTGAATATTACACAAATATACTTGACTTAAAATTTAATAACTCACTTGACTTTGTTTGGCAGTATATGTGTCATCTGTGTCAGAGTCCTCAGATGATTTTAGTTTCTTTTTCAACTGCCTCTTTACTCCCTTCCCGCCACCATTTTCAGTCTTTTTCTTAGCCGGTGCTGTAAACACGAAAAATGAGTGATATCGAATGAGTGAAGAAACGATTGTTTTTTTTAGCTATGCGATTGAGTTAAATATCAATTACCTTTTTTAGGTGGCGTAAACTTTATAGGTGAGTCTTCGCCCGACGAAGATATTAAAGGTTTTTTCTCAGGTGAAGATAGCTTCTCGGGAGAATTGCCTACTAATGAATCGAAAAGTTCCTCTGAAGTCGCTGCAAAGGCAAATAATTATATAATATATTCTATAATGCGTATAATTATATTTAATTTAAATATATAGTGCATTCTTACGCTGGGGCGGTTTCTTGCTTGGTTTAAAATTGTCGTCGGAATCGCTTAGTGCTATAATGGGTTCTTTCTTTTTCGGTCTATAAAAAAAATAAACAATGAGAAATAACTCTAAAAGAATCAACATGAATCAATATGAATAAAGGAATTATACATACATTTCCGAATCGGAAGAGGGACTAAACATTTCGTGACTGTCATCAGAATCTTCGCTACTCATATTATAATTCTTCTTGGCTATATTTAAATAAATTTGATAAATAAGACATAAAATACTCTATTTTAATAATCTTTAATTTGGAAAAAGATAAAATGAATTTGAAAAAAGATTCATACTTGTAGTCCTACGAGATGCTCGTGGTTGCGGAACTGGCGAAATACTACCGAAATCGATGTCATCGCTATCGCTACCTGAATTCTTATCTTTCTTTTTACCTTTCTTGATTGGTTTAAATTGCAACGTTGTTTGTTTCAATCCTGTTTATGAGAACAAAAAATTTTATCATTAAAATTCATTGTAAAATATGTAATTTCGCAAATTAATGTTTCCCAACCTTTCTTTGTAGCTTTCTTCTCCATTTTTTCGGGAGAATTTCCAAGTCTGTGTTCGAGAGATTTAATATTGGAATCAACTAATGTATCAAATTCGTCTTTCTCCTCCATTGAGACTTGCTCTTTCTTTACCTGATATAAAAGTTTTCAATAATATAATAATCACACTTGAGTATGTAAATACGAGATAATAGATAAAAAAACTTACTCTTGGTTTCTTTATGCCTTCTTTCTTGTCCTTTGACACGATGTCAGCTTTTTCGATCTTTTTCTTCAATTCAACATCGATTACAGGAATTATGCGACGAGTGTCTTCCATTTTGTAGAATCTTGAGGGCGGTTTCTTTTCATTTTGCTTCGATTTTATCTGGTCCTTTTGCTCTTTTTCCTCCAGCTAAAAAAATAATAAAATCATAAAATGACTAAATAAATACAATTGATCTTCTTTCACAAAACAAAAAACTCTTACTTTATTTAATTCAGCTAACAAATTGTCCAAATCTTCTTTCCATAAAGAAATCGGTGTACGAGCTTGCAATCTCTTCAACTCTCCAATCTTCTCATCCCGTTGACGCAACTGTTCGTCTTTCTTTTCCTTTGTTAGACTCCACATCGTCATTCCGAGAAGGTAATCGAAATTTTCCTTTTCTATTGCTCTCGCAGTTGGAGCGTTTTCTTCTTCATTTAATGCAGTTTCTTCCTATTTATCCGTGACAATAAGAATTATCGGTAAAACTACAAATATTTATTGATACGATAAAAAAGCTTTTTACAAAAACAACCAATACACAATCCAAAACATCATGTTTAACTGAAAGTTCTCTGCTTATTTTTAAGTTAAACAGCAAAGAGTTTCTGTTAAAAGATTTATCCACTGAAAAATGGTTGTTTGTTAAAAGACCTTTGGGATACAATGTGTACATTGGAAGTTTTACATACTGTTTCTTCCTATATTAACTTACTTGATCCTCCTGGCATAGCATAATAAATAAATTCCAGTAAATATCTACTCTATGATTCTTTCACATTTGCAAATAGAATTTTCAAGCAGATCTACTTACCAATACTTGCTCTCTATTCTGCGTTAATTTCCAAACTACCACAGGATCGGAATCGTAATTACGTCTGATTAATTCCGCAATCATGTCTTTCTTCTTCTTGTTCTCTATCACTAGATCGCCATCGCATTTCTCGAGGATGAAGCGCGCCTGATTCGATAGTTTTGCTGCTTCCGCTTGCAAAACTCCTTCTAGATAATCTTTCCTCTTGTAATACGCGTCTAATCGTACTTTATAAAATCCCTTCAATATCTGTATCACATTGTCGTACTTATTCAAGCATTGATTTTCGTCAAATGCACACTGCACAGAAAGATCATAAATTACCACTTTATTTAAATCAATATATTGCATAATATTTTCGATATCTTACCATAGATGTGATAGTCATTGTTGTCTGAAGTTTAAATGCTTTATGAAGACCATCTCTTTCTAATTCTAGTAATTTGTCACGATTCATCATTACTATAAAGTGCACTGCCGTATCTGTGTTATACTCTTTGTAATCCCTTAATAATGAGATAAAATAGTTTTTAAAAAGGCAATAAAAAATTTTAACAAATATTATTAATTAGTTAAAACTTACGTAATGATAGCCGGTGTCTTATCGGTTCCATGTAACATAGGTTCTAGCACGGTTTCTTTGTAAGTTTGCGTCCATGTACCAATAGGAAGTTCGGTAATTTCCACTTTATCGGGTCCAATTACCGATATCTCTCCGCTTATAACATAGCGGTAATCGCCACAACTCTCGACGACGCCTTTAAAATTTTTGTAATATGGTCTCTAAAATGAAAATATGATTATGTATAAAAACTAAGGTGACATATCAATATGAATCTTGATATTTTAAATATTCCGAATGTTAAATATACATTTATAAAATTATAACTTCAACTTTTTAGATAATTTATCAATATGTACCATAGGTTTCGGATCCGCGCCGTCCATCATCCTATGCAAATTCTCAATTATCTCTCGAGGATTGTAATTCGGTATCTTCGTCATCCATCCGGTACCAATGCCATCGGCACCGTTTACTAATACCATAGGAATTACAGGTATGTAATGAACAGGCTCGATCCTTTGATTATCGTCGTATTCGTGTTTCAGCAGAGGATCATCGTGTTTGTGAAATATATACCTTGCCAAGGGGCTATAAAGAAAAAAGACGGAAGGTATGCCGTTACAATTTCTTTTTATGTAAATCTATATATAATAATAATTAATACCTGAGCATCGTGAAAATGTATCTCGGACTGGCAGAATCTTTTCCTCCAGCGAGTCTTGTACCAAATTGACCGATGGGCTGCAGCAGATTAATGTTGTTGCTACCTACAAAATTCTGCGCGAGATTAATTATGGTCGCCATCAGGGACGTTTCACCATGATGATAAGCCGAATGCTCGGCGACAGATCCCGCCAATTGCGCGACCTTCACCTCACGTTTGTCATTTCGTTTTAAACAGGTATATATTACTTTTCTCTGGCCCGGCTTAAAACCATCCATCATATTTGGAATAGATCTCACATTATCATAATTACTATACAACACCAGTTCGACATTGATAAAGTCCGAAAAAGTAACGGTACGCGTATCCTTTTCGTAAAGATAACGTTCACCGAGACCAATCTCCTTTCGTCTTTTCGTTTCATTCATGTGATTCATCAACCAGTCCTTGCGTTGATCAACGCACTTTTTACTGAATGCCATGATGATGTTCTGATCATCTTGCTCGCCATCGTATTTGAAGCGTATTCTGTGCCTAGCCATGTTTTCAAAGTACTCCTTCGCTTCTTTGGCAGTGGAAGTACCCAAACCTATGCAAATTCAAAAAGAGAAAATACCTGGTCAGATGAATCCTATGTATTATGATAATTAAATAACAGGGAATTAAAATTTTTCAATAAAGACCTTTGTAATATTTGATCTTATACGTGTGAAAATTTTCCGTTTCCTTCTTCCACATCTCGAATTCTGGAAGCGAGAAGAAAGATAAGACTTGATTGCCCTTAGTAGCCTTCACAATAGGCGTAATGAATTCTTCGACGAAATTTAACTTCAGCAATGATGGCCAGTTATGATGGATAAAGTTAATCAAGAGACCCTTGATATGCGAACCGTCCTACACAAGAAAATACAAATTTAGTTGTAAAAATTTATGATAAAATATATACATGCATATAATATTATCTATGTAAAAAATTTAACCTGATCCTGATCAGTCATGATCATCATCTTTCCATAACGTAATGTCTTCAAATCGTCTCGAGTCTCGTATTTCTTTTTATATTGGAGACCAAGAATTTTTATCAAATTATTAATTTCGGCATTCTCTAAAATTTGCTTATGAGTAGCCTCTCGTACGTTTAACATTTTACCTACGATCAAGCGTTCATTAGTATTATTATATATTGAAATTATCTAATAAAATATTTTCCAATAAAACAAATTCACCTCTTAATGGAAATATGCCATATTTATCTCTGCCTATGGAAGCGATGCCAGACACAGCCATTGTTTTAGCTGAGTCTCCCTCAGTCAATATGAGTGTGCATTCCAATGATTTTGCAGTTCCCGCATCATTGGCATCCTCTAATTTGGGTATACCATGAAGTTTTCTTTGCTTCGACTTGGGGCCCAACTTCTCAAGCTGACTATCAGCTTTAAATTTTGCCCAAGTTAACACTGCCTCCACAATACCAATTTTCGTGATCTACAAACACGTTGAAAAAAAATGATCAAACATCTAGAGAACTAAAATTTTTTATATAAAATCATTTGTACCTACCGATGTGATGAATTTATCAGTTAATGTGCATTTAGAGCCAAAGCTTTTTGCTTGTAAAGTCATGTTTTCCTTGGTTTGTGAGTCAAACGTGGGATTGTTAATGAGACAATTAACAAAGATCCATAAGTGATTCTTGATTTGAAACGGCTTAATAGCCACACCAGCTTTGTTTTTTTTCTTTAACGTTTCGATCAACTGTTTAACTATTAACTCCGTCACGTGATCGACGTGTCTACCGCCCTATCGATATTTAGCAAATTCAAATATTTGAAACAATTTTACATATAGAAGATTACTCTAATAGCCATTTGTATTACCTTTGTTGTCGCGATACTATTTACAAAAGACATTTGTTGATATCCTTTATCAGACAAAGTAAGAGCTACTTCCCAGCGTGGACCACAATTTTCATATACAACTTTCAACGGATTGCCGACATCATCTTCTTTTCCCTTGATGTAAAAATCAACATAGTCCTTAAAGTTCTTTACTGGAACGCGACTTCCATTCAAATAAACTTTGACGCCTTTTGAGGAGGCGGCCACATCGTATGCTCTTCGAGACATTAAAGATACAATATCATCATCGAGAGATTGCATCTTAAACTTTGACAAGTCTGGCGAAAATGTGACCTTCGTGAAATCTTCTCCGTAATATTCTTTAATCCTAGGCTCGCTAGCTTTTCCCATGTTATTTCCCCATGTCTGTAAGAGATAAAAATTTTAGCATTGACAAGACTAAAGATCGAGATATTTTTATACTTGCACTCACTTGTTTTAAACATTTCTTATATTCTTTCGTTGCAGTCTCCACTGTAAAACGATGACTGAAAATGTTACAGAGCTTGGCACCATAACCATTTCTACCACCAGTCACTTTTTCTTCTTCATCGTCATAATTTGATGATGTCAGAAGATGACCAAATATCATGGTAGGTACATACATGTTTTCCTCTTTATGTATTACTACTGGAATACCTTTTCCATTATTCCACACAGAAATAGTATTGTTCTCTCTACAAAATATAATATTTACTTAATGATACAATTTATACCAATTTTCTTTTTTTGAAGATTTTAGATTTAGATTTAGATTGCAATAAAATAACTTACGAATCAATATCAATCTTGATCATATCCATCTTGGGATCACGTTGTTTATTATCTGCAGCATTTACTAAGATCTCGTCAAAAATTTTATATAATCCAGGAACATATTTTATATCTTTCTGCACCATCATCTCCTTCTCTTTATCAAAAACCCACATCATTTCTGTTACCGGCTCTACAGACCCAATATAGGTATCTGGACGCAGCAAGATATGTTCCAACTGTGATTTCTTTTGATAGATACCCTCAATAGTTTTCTGCTTGCTGGCTGACTTGCCATCACCAGCTCCATTTTCCATGGCTGTACTCATCTTGATATGGTGTACTTTTAAATATCTATGAGATCAACAAAATAAATATTGTCTAGAAGTATACAACCAAACTTCTAATAAAGAAAATTGACCAAAACACTATAAAAATATATTATAAACATCCTTGTGAAATCATTCTTGAAAGAATCAAGTTTAAATTCTACATCTAACTGTCGAAGATTTCGATTCAAGACTCGAGACAGGGATATCCAATTTTGAGAAATACCTTCCCTCTCGCTTCTAAAACAAAAGCTATTACCGCAGGTGTAGACGTCCACGTTGCAGGGAGGTTTGAAAAATATGGCGGGAAAGGGCTGCCATCTAATTGGCGCGGTTTCGAGGAGAAACGGCGACGCCGTTTGTTTCGGGACGGGAACACCTGTCCTCGCGAAAAATCGTCGCGTGCGTGTGACTACGCGGACGCGGAACGGACGACCGGACCGTACGACGTACGTTGCGTACCTTCAATGATCGCGCCTCGGCGACGAGAGTGCGCTGCTCGCTGCTTTGACGGTAGTCTCTAGGACCGCAGGACCTCCATTCGCGGTGCCGCAAGCGCTAATTACTCGCATATCACAGGCACGCGGGGCGGCCGTCTCGCTGGACGCGCGTCGATAATTCGGCGGCCGAGACACCGTTCGTTCGCTCGCTCGCTAGCTCACTCGTTCACACCAGTTACTCTTACAGAAGCCTCGCTAAACGCAGAGCACTTACGTGACGCCGTGTTCACAACACCGCGTCGTGTCTCGTCCGGTTCCGCAGCTCGCTTCGCGCTACTCCACTCGATCGGAGCTGCCAACCACGTCCGCGCATGGCTGACATTTCGGGTGCGTTCGGGGAGCTCACTATTACCACTATTCAGCACTATTGCTTGTTCGAAGAGTTAATTGGTAGCGCTACCAAACACTATCGTGATGTCATATTGGTAGCATTTTTACGTCATAATTTCGCGCCATCAACGCTGCCATGTGCTTTCCATTTAGTGCACAAGTCGACACAAGTATCATTCTGTCCTTGTTATTCATTGAATGCCAAGAAAGATAGAACGATGCTTGGGTCGACTTGAGACACTAAATGGAAAATACTCGCTATCGCTTTCGAGAGGAAGCGTCCCGTTTGACCATGTTGCAATTGGACACAGCCACTTACAGCGACCGATGCCTGGAGATTTTCTACTGGATCAACCAATCAAATAATTTTATTTTAAATTGACCAATTTCCATCGGCAACGGGCAATCGGGCGTCACCTCTTTTGAGATAGTGCATTAAGGCCATATCAGATTACAGGTTGCCGGTTAATAATTCTATTTCAGCCAATTACATTGACCAATCATAGTCGATTATTCTTCTATTCTTCAACTATGATTTGTCCATTTCTTATGGCTTAAATCACCTATTGTAAACAATACCGGGACAATACAATAATAAATAGAATCGGCAACCCATAGTCTGATATGACTTGTAATAGCATTTGGTAGCGTTAGCCTGAATCCTCATGTAGACACCAGTGCTTTGACACAGATGTTGATTAGTGAAAAATGAGTAGTGGGATAAAACGGCAAATGAATCTTTACTATTTACCCTTATTATCCAAGAATTTCTAGAGATTTAAAAATTTTACTATTTTATAACCGATCTCAACAGTTTTCAAAAAATTTGTAATAGAATCATGGACTACGTTTTAAAGTTCTACTCGATGCGTAGAGTAGCATTTAATTAACCAATCAGAATAAAAAAAAGCAAAAACTTCTAATGAAATATTAATCTTTTATCCGATCGATTCATTGACAAGGGATTTTTAAAGTCTTCTAGAAACCTTTTCAAGAAAATTTTCTGGGAAGAAACGTTTCCAATGAGAATGCAATCTGCACGCATCCGCAAGATCAGACTAGGGATATATTCATATTAAAACTCGCAAAACAGTATTAAAATCAATCAATGAAAAAGCAGAATATAACTATCAATACAATTTTTGATTAACTTACACAAATTCTGTCTTTACGATCTTAATGTAGATGTCAAATAAAATATATTTGAATTAATAATCGATCTGTTGAGACCAGGAACTGTCGTTATTTTATATTTTTGAAATATGCGTAAAGCAATATCAACGAAAGTCTAATTTAAAAAAATAAGTTACTCTTTTGCAAATACTTAAACCTATGTGATATAATTTTTATGTATATAAAAATTATATCACTAAGAAGATATTACAGATATCCAGTTTTTGAGAAATTTTCATGATTTTCTATCAAATAAACCTAAATAGAAAAGTAATAGATATATAAATTAGATATAAATAACCTGAAAATCTTAAGCAATTAGCTTATAATTTCATATCAAATTCATGATTCATTATTATACAAATGCTTTATAAATAAGCATACATCCTTCCAACACAATAAGCATTTCATATTACTGCAAAATTAAATTCTTTTAATAGTACCTGCATGGATACTCAACCCCGGTTGATAAGATCAAATAAAATATCATGTGTAAATATATGTACATATCTAAGAAATATCAGACTAAATTATAAAATTAATATATTACGAAGTAATCATCTCTAAATTTTGCCAGTTGTGTAAATTTACATAGGACCGATCGTTTTAAGTGTATACTTCGTCGATGATTCACACATTATTTAAAAATCCCGTTCATCAAGCTGACCTTCACATTACCTAAATACACGTCGGTTTCATCATCCATCGAGCATGCGCGAAAAATTCAATCCGCAAATCATTGATCTGGCAATCCAATTTAAGCACATTTAGAATTAAACCAAATATATGAATGCAAAAACAATCGCGCCTATTAAACAACATTCAACTACTTTATCTCCTGTCGTTTTATACACGAAATAAACTTCAATGGAAAATCCATTTACGATAAAATAAAAATCGAAAACAGATAAATCCAAATAGTAAGACTAAATTCCGATTAACTTAATCGGCTTATAGCAAAATATCTAATAAAATGTATAGTCTCTAATTTAATTATTCCTTCCACATACCAAATAGAAAATTAATTCGATTTGCGTTAATACTGTAGACGTTTCTTAACAAGATAATTGCCAATTAAGTTAATTGTTTAACTTCAACTAATTGAAATATAATGGGACGAGGTGATTAGATTTGTATAGGAATTATATAGGAATAATTCTGGATGCGCAATTCCTCAATAACGACGCATTTTTCTGACGAGGCACGTATTGCCGTGCTTACATTGTATCTTTATACAGCTATTCTTATTCCATTATCTATCATACGGCAACGTTACTTTTGCAAGATTGTTATACTGTTGGATACTTCATTGCTTTGTTCGATATTACATTCGAAAATCTGTCAGTGATTTTATATACTTGCTTTTCTACCGTAAATGCACTATTAAAAAGGAGAGACGACACAAGTTCGTGCTATAAACGGCAGAAAGGAAAGCATATAGTTACGGAATAATAAATCGGAGTTAAATACAAAACGAAATCACTACTGCTGTCTCCGTCTCTGTGGTTTTCGGTGATTGATTTCGTAGCAGCAGTTGTCCACATTGTTGAAAAAGTGTCGAAATTCTTGCTAGGAGGGGCGCGGCTTAATGGAATGATGATTGGACGAATGAAGAGATCGGTAGTAGTGAGGAAGAGTACCTGTGAAAAAAGATAAGGTAGACCCATGTTGTGTGCGCGATGTGGCACTATGTATTTGTAATTTACAAATTACGTTGCAAAATGTATTCATCGAGAGTTGTCACCAAATTGAATTAACAAAAGGTAAACTAGAACATTGATTTAAATTAATTCGTATTTTCACAAAATGATAGATATTATGATGATGATATTAACAAACGATAATAAAACGATGTTAAGAGAGATTGCCGCTCTAATTTCTCAAGGCAACGACGCGAGAGCATTAAGCTCTAACTATGCGGCAACTCACCAGCGGTTACAACGCGAATTGCACTGCGGTCGCGAATGAGAATTTTCGTTAGTACGGCTGGTGCCTCTGATTTTGGCGACCGCCACCTCCCCTTTGCTTGCCGCCGTAGCCTGAGCCACCTGGAACAATACCGATACTGTATCGTTAGTCCATTTACATCTACGACAGCAAAAAGTTTATAATTATAATTATACAACTATAATTACACAAATTAATAACAGATCGAACTCTTACAACGTAATACATCTCGGTAAAAAAAATACACTACGCTACTAACAACAATTAGATACTACGAAAGAAGTTATCACTACAGGTAATAAATGTACGAACAAAGAGGCTACAGGCTAAGGTAGTAAGCTGCATACAAATTCGAATCCATACCCTTTTTTTTGATACGCATCTCTCTGGGATTCATCCCTTATATTTTTTTCTCGTTACACAATGATTAAGTAATATGAATTTGTAAGCAAAGATGACAAAAGCGAGATAAATTAAACAAAATTTCCCTTTTGACAAGTACTTCTCAACGTTCCAACAGTTAAAATTAATCAAGATTTATGTTGTGATTATATTTAGATTGGACTGTAAGTCGGGGGGGGGGGGGGAGTTTAGTTGCTCTCGTTGCAGTCAAAGGGTTATAAGGATATGGGTGCAATTCTAGCGGTGGTAAAGCTAAATATAAAAAAGAAGAAGAGAGAGAGCAAAATACAAAATGATGGGTAATAAAATATATCAAGGAACGCTGTAATGCGTACCTTTACCGCGTACACCACCGCGCCCGCCCGCGTAGCCACCTTCGTAATTACCACCGCCATAGCCATAGCCATCTGCGTTTCATGAAACACATGGTACAATGGAATCAGTATTCGCACGTACCATCGAGATTTCAATGCATTACAAGAAATAGGGGAAAAAAAATAAACATCAAATGTACTAAGAGCCGACTCGAGGAACGAAATTCCAGTCCGAGAGGAACGATGCAAAGATACTCCGAAGATCGCCGGGATACTGACAGAAAATACCTCACCCTGGGACATTACTTAAGTACAAATTTGATTTATATGATAA